TCTCACACACACACACACACACACACACACACACACACACACACACACACACACGAGTTTACTTAAACCACTGGTCACGACTCAGTTTCGGATGGGGCTTCCCTTCTTGAGCTGCTGCTTCTGTCGCCACGTCAGCTTCCCTCTTGAAATGTCGCTATCAGGCTTGCCTTCTTCAGTAGGCAACTCAGCAGGAAGTGCCGCAGCAGTGCTAGTGAAAATGTTCAGGGTGAGAAACGCAAGGATCGGCGAAAAGTCCAACGAACCCCCAAGAGGCGGTATAATGCCACGAAATAGGTTTAGGTACGGGTCGCATACCGTGCTGAGAGGATTGACGAGGGCTTGAGGAGGATTAGGAAACCAGGTCAGTACGAGCCGCACAATTAGCAGAGTGTTATATATATTTAGAAAGTTGAAAATCCCTGTTGTCACCACTAATTCCGCCGCCGAATTCCCCGGAATGATTGCGGCGAAGCCGTGTGATCTAAGCGGATCGTAAGCATGTGATGAGGAATCTCTGGAGCTGAGAATGTTAAGGACATCAACGGCGGCGTCGTTGTCGACATCTTCGAGGTCCGGTTTGAGTAGTCCGAGTTTCATGAGCCATCTTCTGTCAAGCAGCGCGCCGCCGTTTTGGGCGCCAAAAGCCGCCGGTAAGAGCAGTACCTTCCTAAGATTCGATAACGCGCGCCCCAGTGCAGACTGAAACTCCGCCACTCGATCGCAAACAAGCGCGCGGAGGTGCGCCGCAGGAGTCTCCGCTCGGCGCTCGGAAGAGGCCGCTGCGCGCCGACGCTGCTGAGCCGGCAGATGACGGAGGATCAGCGGACAGAGCGGCAGATCTGACGGGATGGCAGCCCCGGTTGATTCCCGCGCGCGTATCCGGGCGCTTCCCGCGCTTCCGCAGCAAGAGGATGGGTGAGGAAGTGCGGAGGCGAGCGCCAGCGCGGACAAGATGGCCGACCTCTCGCGCTCGCTCCCTCTCACTTGCCCACCTGCCATTGTGTCCCGATCAGACGACAGATGATGACGTGGCGTCATATCGCCTCGTCGGCACCCTCAAGTTCGACAGCGATCCGACAGCGATTCGACAGTGACGGAAATAACTAACCACTATGGTGCCACTCAGCAATTGCCAAAACGACAAATCGGCTCTCGCTGCAGCCCTATCCTATCCGAAATTCGAATCTCGCGGCTACAGTCGATGTTCTATGTCCGTATCTTTTTCCTCGGCCAGCACTCTCCCCACCTCGACAGGCCACCGCCGGGCCAACCGTCCCCGATGCTTTTTACAGCTGTCAAATTCCCATATCAGACGTGTTGACGAGCGGCCATCCATGGCCAGACATTCTTTTTTCTTCTTTTTCAATTTTTCCCTTTTTTTTTTTTTTTTTTTTTTTTTTTTTGATTCACAATTGCTCCATTCTCTTGGTGGGGAGCTGCACCTGCTGGAAACCGGGTCCAGCGTCCCATGAAACTGGAACAAACCTCCAACACAACCAGTCATTAGACCTCTTCACCCTAGGGCGCCTGAATAGAATGTTCGACTAGCCTTAAAAACTAGTTGTGCCACTCCCTTATGTCTACTAATTCAGGAGATGAGCTGAAAACGCTCTTGAACCACAGAAAAAAACAGCCCCTATGAGCTGAGATCTCAACAACAGTCTATTGCCTGGGCAGTTCAACCACCCCCAGACCCATGTTATCCATTAAGAGACATCATAAGAGTTGTAGGCTGATCAGATCAGGGCATAATGGTGGATACCTTAGTCCAAGCGTAGTCCAGTGGAGTAACCTGTGCGCTCCTTCCAGGACAGCTCATGGAGGCCTGGGCCCCATCAACCATGGTTCCAACATTATGCCCTTGGGCCTTAACTTCAGAAATCTAACTCTCTGCCCCCAAGTTCGAAAGAAGTGATCCCTGGCGGTTCTTMCGTTGAGGGCTCTCCTAGCACGTCTCCAATCCGACCATACCAGGGAGCGAACCCCCTCCAGCACCAGGTTCTTGATACTGATGTCAGAGTTGAATTTAGCCCTGAAAAGTCTGTCATTCCTGAGTTTCCATATGACCTGCATAATAGCMGCTCTGCAGGCCATGGCCACGTAAGCCCATCCTGGGCCGACTTCTTTGGCGTTGTGCAGTATGCCTTCCACCACGAAGCTCTCCTCCCACTGCACCTGATCCTCCACCTTTTCTCTCCAGAGTCTGCCCCACCAGACCCAAATTCTCTTGGACTCGATGCAGCCCCACCAAAGATGTGTAGCTGTTTCCTTGTCTTTTTTACACCTGCAGCACTGCGTGTCAATTGGCATTCTGTTCGACGCAAGCCAGTTTGTCGTGGGAACTATCCGATGGGACTGGAGCCACGCCAGACTACCCATCTTTGCAGATGGTATACGTCTGAGGTTACGCCACAGTCCCCTCAATGCTGTGGAGGAGACATTACCTTTCTGTTGCGACCTGACGTTATTCTCCATATGCCAGCGATTCCTGACTCCTAGCGGGAGGGACCAGGACTTGCTTTGGGGCTGATACCCGATTGTGGGGGTATACTCAATTAGGCTGACAACTCTTGTAGGCTCCAACAGTTTCCAGCCCCAATGGGATGGAATAGCCTTGAGCCTATTCGCAGGTCCCACGCCGAGAGGGCAATGGTGCTGAAMTTCGTCCCTGGTATTCTTCTTGGAGCAGACTACTATTGATACGACCTGYTGCAGGGAGACCACCTGCTCCTCAATTTCCTTTAGCCTGTAGCCCACACCTTGTTCTTCTGGCTCAATGGAGAAGGATGTGACCGCAGCCTGATCTTGGTCCAGAATCGCCTGGACTCTCCACACCTCCTTGGGAATTGTTGACCCCCCTTGGACCACCCAGTGTCCTTCATACGCTGGTTGGGGGTCCAGCAGGGTCACCTTCCAAGCGTGTGGAATATTGGTTAAGATTTGTTCCAGCCTCTCTTCTACCGCTCTCAGGTGGTGTAGCTTTGTTTTCAGTTCAGCTGCAGCTCTCCACTGTGAGAGATCTGGGTTCCATAGGTCTGCTATTCTCAAAACTCCCCTTTGGATCCAACTTTTGCCAAACTGTCCCGTGGCGTCCCCTGCAGACCACGGGGCACCAGAATCATTGCAGATATGCACATTATCGAAGATATGTTGAGTCAGGATCTCCTCCTTGGTATGTGGTTCCTTGAGTTGTACTGGCATGAGGTGGGACCATGCCCGAAGAATGTCTTTCCAAACCGGTGAATTGATATTTCCTTTCACCATTGAGGACGTTAGGATAGCCACCCATACATCCACCCTTCTACTTAACCCCCATTCTCTCATAAGAGTTGCCACAACGAGTTCCACCCACGGGTGGTTGGATGTTGTGGTAAGTAGCCTGACAACCCATCTGGCTAATAACGCATTAACCTGCAGTTCCGGATCCTTAATGCCCAAACCTCCATCAGTCTTTCCCCCCACTACCTTTTTCCAAGACAGTTTTGCAGTGTACCCTACCTCCTCATCCTGTGTTCCCTTCCAAAGGTACCTCGTCGATACTGACTTGATCCTTCCGTAGGACTTAGCTTTCAGGCTCCTTAATGACCCTGTGAACCAAATCTTAGAGAAGACAGAGGTATTCAGGAACAAAGCTCGTCCAAAAATGGATGTCCCTTTAATCGTAGCAACTTTGCCAATCTTGGAGATAACTGCTTATTCTACCAAACTGTTGGCCGCCTTCTTGCTGTCGAGTATGCTCACCTGCACCCCCAAAAAACGCTCAACCTCACCAACCGGTAAGCATTTCAAACCCCAATCCACAGACAATTTAGTCCCATCAGAGGTAATCGCAGTAGACTTAGGCCAGTTAATCAGGGCTTTTGAGAATTTAGAATAGAGATCAAGACAGCATTTAAGCGCGCCTAATGACTCTTTGGTGTTGGTAGATAGGGCGAATAGATCATCGGCCATTGCCGACGCCTTGCACTCCTGCCCATTGGGCAGGCGAAGGCCGCGAATGTCTGGGTGTTTTCTAATCATTGACAACAAGACCTCCATCTGTATGACGAACAGCATGGGGGCGAGAGGGCAAACTTGTCTAAGTGATCGTGTGAGCGTGAAAGGACTTGAGATTTCGCCATTGACTAGGACCATACCTACCCCTTTAGTGTGAAGGGCTCTGACCCATACGCAGAATGGTTCCCCAAATCCTGCTAATTTTAGTGTGTCTAGTACGAATTGCCAATTGACCCTATCATAGGTCTTTTCCATATCTAGAAGCAAAACAACCACTTCCGGCTGGTCCTCTTTCATGGTCTCAAGGGCTTCAATCGTGAGCATGATGGTATTCAGTATACTCCTTCCTTGGACAAACCCTGCTTGCTCCTCCCCTACTAATCCTGGCAAGTACCGCTTGAGCCTATTGGCCAGGGCCTTAGCCAGAAATTTGTAGGACGTGTTTAGGAGAGAGATAGGTCGTCAGTTCCTTATATTTCTCTTGTCTCCTTTTTTTTACAGCAGTGAAATGATACCCGTCCGCATGTCCTCCCCCAGATCTTGACCACCCAGTACCCGGTTGAATATGTCAACTAGCACAGGCCCCAATATCTCCCAGTAGCAGGTGTAATATTCCACCGGTAGCCGGTCACTGCCCGGGCATTTCCCCTTTTGCACGGATTTCAGGGTGCAGTTCAATTCTTCGATGGTTATGGGTCGGTTTAAATATAGTTTCCCCTGACTGGGTAAACGGGCCTCAAACGATTGCCATAACGTGTCCTGCAACCCAACATCCCCCGGATCCGGGCATACCGGTCTGGAAGAGGTCAGGATGTTATTGAAATACAGCCTAGCGTATTCCAATATGGTTTTAGTGTCTCTGGCCCTGGGCTCAAAGGAGTCAAAGGGATGGTCCAATTCTACTATAAGCGATGACCCTTTTCGTATGGAGAGACGGCTGAAATTTTCCTTCATCATTCTGTCCCCTACGTCCAGCCATTTTATCTTTGCTCGCTGTGCCCATACTTTTTCCTTCTCAATCTGAATGTTTTCTAATTTATCCTTCCATAGATTCCTGTAGTAGAACCAGAGATCCCCTTTGCTTGGTTCCCATTTCAGCTTGTTTACTGCCCATTCTATATTCACAATTCAGTTTTCTTCTTCTTTCCTTCTATTGGAGGCTTTGATCCGGGAGGCAAAACTTAAGTCATTTGCCGCCATTTTGTTAGCTGTCTCCAACCAGTCTATATCCGATTCATAATAATCCCCAAGTTCTCTTAATTTTGTTAGTGACTTCTTTATTGAAGCCACCAGTCCCTTATCCTGAAGAACCTCCGTGTTGAGCTTGTAATAGCCTCTTCCCCGGATAATATGCTTATCCGGAACAAAGGTCGCCAGAACAGGTCGATGGTCCGAGAGAGAATCGAAGGGCATGGAAACCTCCATGGCCCATTCTGCTGCTTTTCCTCTGACCAGAAAAAAATCCAGTCTTAACCTGGTATAAGTCCGGTCCTGTCTAGGTGTATTAGATACCCAGGTACTTGGTGGTTTGGGGTTGCGGTTGCCTAAATGGATCAATTAGGCCCATGCTCTCTACAAACTCTCCCAAGGCCAGAGAATCACTCCTAATTGGGTCTGCTGTAGTCGAGTCCAGGGCAGGGTTCAGGATTGTGTTTCAGTCCCCACCTAGTACCATGTTCTTGTTTCCAGGGAGCACCCGTGGTAGGACTTCAAAAAATTGGATTTTTTTCCGTCTATCCACTGGGGCGTAAATGGATACAAAGGTTCATTCTGTACCCTCAATACTTGCTGACACCCATGACCAGCGACCCAGGGAATCAGAAAACTCATCTAGGACTGTCAAGTCCAAGTCTTTGTGGAACAGGATCTCGGTGCCGCCCTTGGTACCATCTGCAGGGGCCCAAAATTGAGGGCCCTGCCACTTCAACCTTGCCTCCTCTATTTTATCTTCATTCAGTTTAGTCTCTTGGAGCATCATAATGTGGACCCCATGCTGGTGTATCCATGATCTGAGCCTTGCCCATTTGTACTTAGCATTAGTATCGCCAAGGCCCCTGACGTTCCAGGAGGCTATTCTTAATTTATTCATTGAGGTTTGGGCTCCCTGTGTCTTGGATCAGGGAAAAGTCATATGGGGGGAAGGTGGATACAGTT